TTGATCTCATAGGGGGCTGCCACCGGTTCATTCAGCGGCGTGGTCAGATTGAGCTGCTTCAGGTTAATCGAATAGGAATCGAAGTCGATCACCGACCCTGGAAGCTTCAGATCAGGCTTGCTCATCAGATAGCCGGCTGAACCCGGCGCCGCGTACGCCGCGACCGTCATCTTGAAGCCCTTGACCCTCCGGTCAAGCTCGACCGGATCGACCGACTCTTGTGCGCTATTGTCGAAGCCGCGGAACCGCATCGGCTTCGCGTCCTCTCGCCGCCTCGCCTGCTGGCCAGCCCCTGCCCCGTGCTTTGCCAGCGCCGCCGCGCCGATCAAGAACATGCAGCGCTTGGCGGCGGGGGCCTTCAAGATGCTGCTAATCTCCGCGTGCAGGTCGTGCTCGCCTGCGCCTGCCCGTCGATCTCATGCGCTGCCTGAACCAGCGCTTCCTCGCCGCTGATCTCCACGGGCTCCGCGATCGCCATCGGTCTCTGCTGACATGGCCAATCTGCTTGCATCTGAGACACTTCGCCCGTCGTCCAAGCTTGTCGAGGTCCTGCCGAAAGGGTCCACCGACGCCGCCCTGTCGTGGCTTCCATCCTGGCCGCAGTCCTTTTTCCAACCGCTTCTTTTTCATGGCCGTCCGCGTCTTGTTCCAGATCGCCAGGGTCTCCGCCGCGTCCGACTCCTCGATGGGCTCCGCGGCCTGGAAGATCGCATCAACCTCCTGGGTGACATCATCCTAGGCACCCTCATCCTGGTGCGGTTCTGGCGGCGCCGGAATCTCGCCATCTATGAGCTCTGCCTCCACCGCGCGCGCCGCCTGTGTGAGCCTTTCCGGGGGGGCGCCAGGGGAAACCGTCCGAATCGCCATGCGCACCTCGTCCACATGCATGCCAGCTCCGATGTGTGGCTGACATGATCGCTGCTCTTCCGAAGTTGCCCAACTTGGCGCCGCGTAAGATCGCGTAGCCCCGCGCGACCGGTGGGAGGCCCATGCCTTCAGTGGCCAAGCGAGCGAACACCAGCTGAGCCCATCTTGTGTAGGCCTCTGTGGTCTCCTGCTTGTGCATGCCAAGGCTGTAGCCTTCCTCCATCGCCCCTCCAAGGCGATCCGGTGTTACTTTGTAGAAAAACAATTCGCCCGGGCGCGCGAACACCACCTCCCCTCCACCATCGGCATCGATCTCCGCGAGATCCCGCACTCTCGACCGCCAGCGCCGCCTGGCCGTCCAACGGCGTGTGCAACCACGGGCCGAGCGCCACCGTGGGTGTGCTTTTCGCCATGTGGACAACGATCGCCGCCTTGGCCCACCTTTTCCACAGTCGATAGTCCGACGCACCGTTGTTGCCGTCGCCGCTGAAATGCTTCTGGTTGAAACCGCCACCTTCTGTCATCGTCCCTGTGATGAGCTCCTGTTCTATGACGTGCTCCTCACTCGCACCGCTGGCTCAAGTCACTGCGGATATTCGCGAGTCGAATCAACGGCTGCTAACGGTCGAAAGCGCCAGCTTTGCCCCTGGCGGCACAGTGGAGAATGGCTACAACACACAAACATGTATGGGCACACTCACGCATTCAGAAGGGCTTTCTCTCTATAGACAGAGAAGCGGAACTGCACGTGAAGAACACGAACGTCCCCTGGAGGCCGTGTTCGCAGAACCGTTCACATGCGTCCCCCCCGCTCAGTGCAGCGTTTCGTGGCCCCATAAAGACCTCCACCGAAGGCTTCAATGGCACCGCCCATCGGCTTCTTCCCAGCCAGTACAACTTATTGTGGCCCCACAAGGAGCTCCACCGAAGGCCCCACTAGCAAAATCCACATGCATTCCCCCACCCAGTACAACGTTTTTTTGGCCAATGAGGGTTGCACCAAAGGCCCCAGTTCCAAAGTTCGTATACGTCTCCCCCACCCGGTACAGCATTTCGTGGCCCCATAAGGAGCTCCACCGAAGGCCCTAGTGGCAAAGTTCGCATGCGTCTCCCCCACCCAATACAGCGTTTCGTTGCCAATTGGGGGCTCCACCGCAGGCTCCAGTGGCAAAGTTCGCGTGCGTCTCCCAACCTCAATACAGCTTTTCGTGGCTCCACTGAAGACGATACCCGCCACTGCGGTAATCACAGCTGCATATGGCTGGGTCCTTTGCCCAGCTAATTCAATGCCATTTGTTAATTTTATTACCAACCATCCTGTGGTGTTGGGTCCTCGATTTGAAGAGCGTTCCTCCCTCCTCCTCCCCCTCCCTCCTCCCGTCCCTGCCCCTGTCCTCTGCACAATTCAACCATTTTGGCACACCTCTCACACGTTTCTTGGCACCATATGGGGGCTGCACCGAAGGTCCCAGTACCACCGCCCGCATGCGTCCCCCCCCCAATGCAGCCTTTCATGGCCCCATCGGGGGCTCACCGGAGGTCTCAGGGTTACCGTCCGCACGTGGCTCCATAAGGGGGCTCACCGAAGGCCTTAATGTTACCGCCCGCGTTCGTCCCTCCCACCCAATACAAGGTTCTGTGGCCCCATGGGGAGCTCCACCGAAAGTCCCAGCGCTACCGCCCGCGTGGGTCCCCCCCCCCACCCAATACAACATTTCGTGGCCCCATGGGGCGCTCCACCGAAGGCCCCAGTGGCACAGTCCGCATGCACGCCCCCCACCCATTACAAAATTTCGTGGCCCCATAGGGACCTCCACCGACGGCCCCAGCGCTACCACCCGCATGCGTCTCTCCCACCCAATACAACATTTCGTGGCTCCATAGGGACCTCCACCGAAGGCCCCAGTGGCACCGTCCGCATGCATCCCCCCCCCACACACTACAACATTTCGTGCCCCCATAGGGACCTCCACCGAAGGCTCCAGTGGCACCGCTTGCATGCGTCCCCACCCAATACAATGTTTCGTGGCCCCATAGGGAGTTCCGACGAGGACCCCAGTGGCACCGTCCGCATGCATCCCCCCACCCATTACAAAATTTCGTGGCCCCATAGGGACCTCCAGCGAAGACTCCAGTGGCACCGCCTGCGTGCGTCCCCACCCAGTACAATGTTTCGTGGCCCCATAGGGACCTCCACCGAAGGCCCCAGTGGCACCGTCCGCATGCCCCCCCCCCCCCCCAGCACAGCATTTCGTGGCCCCATAGGGACCTCCACCGAAAGCTCCAGTGGCACCGCCTGCATGCGTCCCCACCCAATACAATTTTTCGTGCCCCATAGGGAGATCCTCCGAAGGCCCCAGTGGCACCGTCCGCATGCACGCTCCCCACCCAGTACAACATTTCATGGTTCCATAAGGACCTCCACCTATGGCCCCAGTGGCACCGCTTGCATGCGCCCCCACCCAGTGCAACTTTTCGTTGCTCCATATGGATCTCCACCGAAGGCCCGCAGAGGCACCGTCTGCATGCATCCCCTCCAACCCAGTACAACATTTCGTGGTCCCATAGGGAGCTCCACCGAAGGCCCCAATGGCAAAGTCCGCATGCGTCCCCCCCACCCCTCACACGCTTCGTGGCCCCATAGGAACCTCCTCCGAAGGCCCCAGTGGCAAAGTCCACATGCATGTTCCTCCGCCCAGTGCAGCGTTTCGTGGCCCATAGGGAGGTCCACCGAAAGCCCCTATGGCAAAGTTCGCATGCGTTCCCCCTGCCCAGTGCAGCGTGCCGTGGTCCCGATAGGGAGCTCCACCGAAGGCCCCTCTGGCAATGTTCGCATGCGTCCCCCCGCCCAGTGCAGCGTGTCGTGGTCCATAGGGAACTACACCGAATGCCCCAATGGCAAAGGTCGCATGCGTGTCCCCCACTGGGTGCAGCGTTTCGTGGCCCCATAAGGAACTCCACCGAAGACGATTCCCACAACTGCGGTACTCACAACTGCCTATGGTTGGGTTCATCGCCAGGCTAATTGTTTTACGGAGGTCCGGGATCCCAGAGTCACGAGGGACGTCGACGGACATAGTTGCGGCCAACGCCCATCGATCATCGTGTAACCGACCCCTATCCCCATCGGCGTGGCGTGGGCCCCACTCCTAGATGGGGATACGTTTCGAAGGGAAAATCCCCAACTGGGGTGCTGAGAAGGTGGGTGTCTGGATAGGGATGGGGATGGGGATGAAGGGTCGCTTAAACGATGCTGATCCGTGCCAATGAGTGTCTCATTTTGTGTTATCCGTGGCTGGTAGGCACATCCTCTAGCGCACCAAGCCAGTCAGGACATTCATGCATGACTTTGGTGTTCTCGCTACGTGTCGGCATGTGAACCGATGCTACCGACTGAACATCAAGCCACCGCTGCATGCTGTGCGCTAAGGCAGACACACGCGTACAGTGCGTCTACAGGAGTCCCGAATGGATCCTGGTGATCTTCGAAGCCAGATTCGGAATCTCAGGATAATGTCACTGCAGACGTAGATAGAGCGCTTGCGATGGCTTCTGCGAGATCCCCAGTGTTTAGGGCTGCGGCTTCTTGTAAGCTCCACTTGCTCCTCCCCGTGGTGCCCCTTCCTGCTCGCGCAGCCCCTTTACCATCCTCTTCAAACCACGCGCCGCCAATGAACCTGTGGGTGGGGATATCTGCGGGCATCGTGGACCGGCGCAATATGTGCGGGGAGAGTCATGGTTGGCGCTCGAGAGAGAGAGGGAGAGACATAGACAAAAATCAAGAGAAATGCCCTCAGCCTCCCCGATGTCTGCTCTCTTCCTCATCCTCCTCCTCCTCCTACTCCTCCTCCTCCTCTTCCTCCTCCTCCCCCTCCTCCTCCTCCTCCTCCTCCTCACTCCTCCCCTTCCTCCTCCTCCCCCTCCCCTCCCCCCTCCTCCTCCTCCTCCTCCTCCTCCTCCTCCTCCTGCAGGCCAACGAAGACGGCTGCAGGGAGGGGTCCAAACGTACTTCCACCTTCATGCACCAATCAACCAATACACCAGTAAACCAATTCCTCATATTCCTCCTCCTCCTCCTCCTCCTCCTCCTCCTCCTCCTCCTCCTCCTCCTCCTCCTCCTCCCCCCCCCCAATGTCTGCTTGCGCGGGCTGTGTGAATGAATGGGGCACGGGCGCTCGCTGCACAAGGACTCCGAGTGATTTCCGTTGCCCTCGGGCGGCGGAGTCATGTCCGATCGGTCACCTCAATGTCGAAGCGCGTCCACGGCATCAGCAGCTGCGCCCTCCTCGCAGGATCAATCATTGTCAGGCTTTGAGGTCGTCGTGCAGCCAGCAGCGAAGCGCATCCATCACATTGACAGGGCCATCAAGATCAACTACCCAAACTGTGGCATCAAGCCTGACCATCCTGGCAACGCTTCAAATATCCTCAGACCCGTCTCGAATTTTCATGGTGCCAGTGCGGCCGTGGCGGGATAGTTCGTTGAAGGAGCGACGAAGCTGGACAGACCGCTGGTCGTGCAGAGAAACAAAAGACGATATGTAAAAGAGAAAACAGGGATGAGGCCAGAAGGGATCAAGTACCTTGTCGCGCGTTGTCGTAATGGCACCCTCCTTCCCTCACCAGCTCCTCGCCTTCCCAATTTGTCCTTGCTGGTCCAGGCTGGCCAACCTGCATGTGGGTGTATTTACGTGGTCACACACTGACAGGGCTCACAGGAGCCCAGATACACAAATGCCCAAGCACTCCTGCTGCAGCCATCCACCGGTGCATTGTAAGGAGGCTCGTCAATGCGTCTGCACTCCTGCTGACGAGCAGCAGGACTAAGACACAGAGAACAACTCCACGCCTGACTACAACCACTGTGCTCCCAGAAGGAACCCTGACCAAATTGGGAACGAATGGGACTTGCTGGCCAGTGCTGGCCTCAACAACTCCGCACCTGACTACAACCGCTGTGCTCCCAAAAGGAACCGTGACCAAATGGGGAACGAATGGGACTTGCTGGCCAGTGCTAGCCTCGGCCACGAGTGGGCTTCTCTGAAGGGGCCCTGGGACACACAGATAAATAGACACAAATAAAATGATTACCTATAGTTTCTCATATTTTTTGGATTTCTGTCTTCCCCTCCACTTCCCATATTTTCCCATATTTTCTTGGGAATCGACGATTAATTGTGTCTGTGTGTCTTTTCCCCTCCTGATTCTCGACCTCAGGACCTGGGTCTGAGGAATGGCCCGAGATCCGACGCCCCTCCTCAGTCCAAAGTGGTCCCTGTCTCGAGAGCTTGACTGCACGTCAGTGGTACAACAGTGGCACGACAAGCCTGACCTCGACAACCACCGACACCCCAACTGACCTCTAAGGTCCAGCTCGAGCGTTGCGTCTGAGAGCTCCTGGCCTCTTCGGGCCGCTGCACTCTCCTGGCCCGTCTCACTGAGCCTGCGGCAGAACGAGCTTCCCACCTTCTGTCAGGGCCCCCATAATCCAGGACATTGCCAAACGAGACTTCGAGAAGTCCACCCAGTGAAAACAAATCATGGAATGTTTTTCGCCTCACAGCTGCAATTTTGCCGGGCGCGCCAACGTCCTGGTTTGTCGCCCACCCCTCCCCCTTCTGGGAGGCCGTGATGATATCTCAATTGTGGAGGGACGGGCACGCCTAGGAGCGGTCCAGGCGGCGTGGCGAACGAGGAAAGCACATGCGACGACTGTCATGAAAGTTGGCGTCTCAGGGATGGGGCCCTCATGGATTGGGTCCTGAGGATAGGAGGCCTTGCCACCGTCTGGACGTCCATTCCCCCTGCATTGTTTGGTTTCGCGCGTTTGTTTTGTTTTTTGTTGGCTTGTTTTGGTTTTCTTAACGCAAATAATCCAACATGCTCGAAAATGGTCAAGATTTTCTGGCGCTGGCTCGCCGAGAAACAAAAACGCATACGCCCGAGCGTTGCCACGAGGTGGCCCACAGGCTGAACCTCTACTGTTTGAGGTATGTTGGGAATCTGGTGTTTGACGCGCGGAACTCGCGCAGAGACAATCGCAGGAACTCACAAGCCATTCTTTCCCAAATGTCAAATGTGCGAACATATCAAACGAAAATGGCACGGTGAACTATAGGACAGCGCGGACTACGCTTTCCTACAAATGGTTTGGCCACGAACCAATTCCACCTATAATGCCAAGACCTAAATTGTCGATGACTACATCGCCGTTAGTGCCACCACGGCATCACCATCACCTCCTCCACGACCATGCGAGCTCATTTCATGCCCTCGCGGGCCCTTTCTCTTTTCCTCTGGCTCCGTTGTCTTCTTTTCTTCTGGCTCCGTTGCCGCCTGTTGTCCAGCTGCGCTTACCGAGGTCAAACTTATCGGCCACAGCGCCTGAATGGGTACCTCTTGTGCTCTGCCGCTGTTTTACCATCCGGGCGCTACGATCCCAGTCGATCTAAGTCTGCCCCACGTCGATAAGAAGGGCGAGGAGGGGGAAGAGAGGGGGACATGACGCACGTCCAGCACCGTCCAGTCGCATGGGCTCCTGAATCGCAGCGCGGCCCGCAGAAGGGCAATCGTGGCAGTAGCACCTCCGCTTCGAAGCTCTCGTCGCTCCAGCTGCTGGATGGGGTTCCGATCCTCCCTGTGCCAAGGCAAGGGCGGCACCATCGTGGAAACGTCTGCTTGCGGAGCGGTAGGGAGCGGGGGGCCTCTGGAGGCCGCAGGGAGTCCCCCGAGGCCTCCCGGGGCCTCCAGCAGCCTCTGAGGGCGCCCGTAGGTTCGAACCTCGATCCTCGAACCTCGATCAGAGACGACCAAGAGCCTCGACCCTCGCGGCCGGGGAGGGTGGGGAGGGCGCGGATGAGGGCAGCATCAGCACAGAGATCAGGGCCAACATCGGGCCACGCGCGGCCTTCCCGGAGGAGCGGGAACGGCACAGGCACAAAACTGTCGGAGGTCCGCGCAGATCTCTTGGGTCCGCGCGGCCCCGCGCGCGGAGCGCCAGCAAGTTTTTATGTTCACGGCGTTCTTTCCTCTTCGAGGGAGGGTGAGGCTCTGGGGATTCCTCCTCCCTGCTCCTCCGGCTTTTTTTTTCGCCCCTGCTCCTCCCCCTCTCCCACGGCTGCTCTCGCTCCTGCTCCAGCTGCTCCGCATCCTCCTCACCTCCTCTGTTCCCCGGCTGGGGGAGGGGAAGAGGAGCGCGCGACCACTGCACCTCACCACGGTGCGACTAGCACAGTAACGTGAAACAGACGATCGCCAGTCCACGGGGAACGCTGCGCCGACCTGTCGCAGGCAAGCTCAGGCAAAGAACTGTGGCCTCATCCTCATCCTCTTACGCATCTTACCTCTCGGGTTTGGATTTGCGGGTCTGTCCACGGAGCGTACAAGCCCAGTGCTTTGGGGAAGCCGTGCGGGCCCGCCAGAATTACAAGGAAGCGGCGGGAGTACCTTAACCGACTTGACCGAAGGCTCCCGCCGAAGTAGCCTGTATGTTTTCTCCACGCTGCCTTTAGCAATCGCTCCTAACCCAAATCCGCCCCCCCGGGGGCACTGCGCGCAAAAATAGCCTGTAACGTACCCAACCCATTTGCATCAAGAGACACAGGAGTTGGCCCAAATTTGCCCCGACAGTGACCGTGCAGGCGCCGTTATTTGATGTGCAAGCTACATGGGATGCGCTCTCGTGGCACGACTCACAGGACACAAACAGAAGGACGAGGAGCGAAGACCCAGGCTTGAGGATGACCTGGGGGCGGGAACGAAGGGCAAGAAGAAGGCGCGTGGGGGGCCGAACCGTCAGCGCGGCAGCAGCAGAGGGAAGGTGGCAGGGGGCAGAGGACGACGACGAAACTGACGGGAGGAGACCGACGAGGGCTGCTTTTGTCGGTAATGCGCTAAAGATGCAACGCTGCCTGCGCCATGTCGCCGCGGCGCTCGACAAAATGATGAAACCTGTGTATAATCAGTGCAAGAAGCGAGCGAGGCCTAGCTCGCCCGCCAGATTCCCTGGTTCCTTCCTGCACTCTTCAGTGTGGGAAGTGAACGCTCGAAGGCGCACCGCCAGGTGTGCGGGCGGCCCACGACAGCGCCCCGCTGGACCCCCCAGCAGCCTTCGAACGTGGCGACAATTTCGCAGGTCGCAGCCCCCCAAAGCTGATGTCGAATCTAAGTCTGCGCAGTGCGTCGCAACGTTGGACCCCCCCCCAGCAGCCCTCGAAAGTGGCGACAGTTTCGCAGACCGCAGCACCCCAGGGATGGCGAGCTTAACTTTGAATTTGGGTAAGACGTCACTCCGCTGGACCCCCCAGCAGCCCTCGAACATGGCGACAGTTTCGCAGACCGCAGCCCCCCAGGCATGGCGATGTCTAGTTTGAATATGGGTAAGATGTCACTTCGCTGGACCCCCCCGCACCCCTCGAACATGGCGACAGTTTTGCAGACCGCAGCCCCCCAGGGATGGCGAGGTCTAGTTTGAATATGGGTAAGACGTCAATCCGCTGGACCCCCGAGCAGCCCTCGAAAGTGGCGACCGTTTTGCAGACCGCAGCCCCCCAAGGATGGCGAGGTGTAGTTTGAATCTGGGTAAAACGTCACCCCGCTGGACCCCCAGCAGCCCTCGGAAGTGGCGACAGTTTGACAGATCGCAGCACCCCAGGAATGGCGAGGTCTAGTTTGAATCTGGGTAAGACGTCACTCCGCTGGACCCCCAGCAACCGTCGAAAGTGGCGACAGTTCCGCAGATCGCAGCCCCCAGGGATGGCGAGGTCTAATTTGAGTCTGCGTGGGACGTCACTGCGCTGGACCCCCCACAGCAGCCCTCGAAAGTGGCGACAGTTCCGCAGATCGCAGCCCCCAGGGATGGCGAGGTGTAGTTTGAATCTGGGTAAGACGTCGCTCCGCTGGACCCCCCAGCAACCCTCGAAAGTGGCGACAGTGTTACCGATCGCAGCACCCTACGGATGGCGAGGTCGACTTTGAATTTGGGTAAGACGTCACTTCGCTGGAACCCCAGCAGCCCTCGAACATGGCGACAGTTTCGCAGATCGCAGCCCCCCAAGGATGGCGAGGTCTAGTTTGAATCTGGGTACGACGTCACTCGGCTGGACCCCCCACTGCAGCCCTCGAAAGTAGCGACAGTTCCGCAGATCGCAGCCTCCCAGGGATGGCGAGGTCTAGTTTGAATCTGGGTAAGACGTCACTCCGCTGGACCCCCCAGCAGCCCTCGGAAGTGGCGACAGTTTCGCAGACCGCAACCCACCAAAGATGGCGAGATCTAATCTGAATCTGGGTAAAACGTCACCCCGCTGGACCCCCAGCAGCCCTCGGAAGTGGCGGCAATTTCGCAGACTGCAGCTCCCCAGGGATGGCGAGGTCTAGTTTGAATCTTGGTAAAACGTCAATCCGCTGGACCCCCAGCAACCGTCGAAAGTGGCGACAGTTCCGCAGACCGCAGCCCTCCAGGAATGGCAAGGTGTAGTTTGAATCTGGGTAAGACGTCGCCACACTGGCCCGTCACGCCGCAGGACCCCCCAGCAGCCTTCGAAAATGGCGACAGTTCCGCAGATCGCAACCCTCAGGGATGGCGAGGTTTAACTTGAATCGGGGTAACACGTGACTCCGCTGGACCCCCCAAGAGCCCTCGAAAGTGGCGACAGTTCCGCAGACCGCAGCCCTCCAGGAATGGCACGGTGTAGTTTGAATCTGGGTAAGACGTCGCCACACTGGCCCGTCACGCCGCAGGACCCCCCAGCAGCCTTCGAAAATGGCGACAGTTCCGCAGATCGCAGCCCTCAGGGATGGCGAGGTTTAACTTGAATCGGGGTAACACGTGACTCCGCTGGACCCCCCAAGAGCCCTCGAAAGTGGCGACAGTTTCGCAGACCCCCCTCCCCCAGGGATGGCGAGGTCTAACTTGAATCTGCGTGGGACGTCACCCCCAGTGGCGCTGGCAGCCCCCCCACGGGCGGGCAGAACAGACGAGCAGGGCAGACCACCCAACGCCCAGTGTTGACGTGCTCCGGACGTACACCTCGCGAAGCGAAAGGAATCCACGTCCTGAGGTGACGCGCTGAGCGGCAGCGTTTTCTTGCGAGCGTCTTACTGCCACGTATCTAAAGTATCAAGAAATTGCATGCTTACGACACGTGGCACCTTACATTATTGTGCTTCCCCCCTGCCCAAGTCGCGCCACATCGGCGGACCAAGATGGCAACCCCACTTTTGGGGCCCAAGCATGTGCCAAAACGTATGGAACAGCTTTGAAGGGGCCCTGGGCCCTGGGACACACACATAAAAAGACACACAAATAACAGGATGCCCCAGATCTTCCCGGCATCTTCTGGGTTCGCGTCCTCCCCCCCCACCCCCACACTTCCCATCCCTTCCCTGGAAGTCGACGATGCATTGCGTCTGCGTGCTCCTTCCCCTCCCGTTCGCGTCTTCCCCCCCCCCTCCCCACTTCCCATCCTTCCCTGGAAATCGGCGATGACTTGCGTCTGTGCGCTTCTTCCCCTCCCTGCACCTCTGCTGCCTCTGCTCAGAGGTCGGAGCTCTGCGCCCTCCCCGTCGCCCCCTTTCCGAGGGCCGCCCCGGAGAGCGGCGGGCGGCAGGGCCGGGGGCGCTCCTCAGCCCCGCCGGGGTGACGCCCGAGAGCCACAGCTTGAGCCTCTCGAGGCGAGGCTGTGCGAGGCCTCGGGCGCCGCGCCTCGTCGTGCCCCCCTCCTCCGCCTCCTCCTCCTCCTGCCTCTTCTCCTCCTCCTCCTCCATCCCTCCTCCTTCTCCTTTTCCTCCTCCTCTTCCTCCTCCTCCTCCTTCTTCTTCTTTTTCTTCTTCTTCTCCATCCCTCTTCCTCCTCTCCTCGTTCTGCTCCTCCTCCTCCTCTTCCTCCTCCTCTTCCTCCTCCTTCTGCGCCCCTCCTCCTCCTCCTCCTCCTCCTCCTCCTCCTCCTCCCTCCTCCTCCTCCTCCTCCTCCTCCTCCTCCGGTCCTCCCTCCTCTCCTCCTCCTCCTCCTCTCCTTCTCCTCCTTCTTCTTCTCCTCCTCCTCCTCCTCCTCCTCCTCCTCTATCCCTCCTCCTCCTCCTCCTCCTCTCCTCCTCCTCCTCCGCCTCCTCCGCCTCCTTCTCCTTCTCCATCCTTTCTCCATCTAAAGAACTTCTCCTGTTGCACCCCCAGACGTGTCGGTAGGGCGGCCAGGAGTTCGCCCGAGAGCCACTTGTGATCTTGAGATCTTGAGATCTGCGACAGCTTCGCGGGTGGAGGGCGGGTGGTTTTCAGTCTGTGTCTCTCGCCGCCTCGCCGCGCACATTCTTCTTGAAACATTGCAGCAGCCACAGGGATGGAGGGCGGGACCTTTCCAAACTGTGGCCCTCGCCTTAGCGTCGCGCGCATTTGTACTCCTTTCCAACAGTTTCAAGGATGGAGGGTGGGTCCTTTTCAACATGCGGCTCTCGTCTTAGCGCTGCTCGCACTCGTCTTATCATCGCCAGAGTTCAATATCCCCAAACGTCGTGTTTTCAGACAAGATGGCCCCCAAGAGTGTTCGCGCGTGCTCCGGCTTGCGATCCACCTGCGCCTTTGGCGTAGTCGTGTAGCTTTCCGTGATCGTCGTCGTCGTCGTCCTCCTCCCCCGCATCCACGTAACTCTCCTTCTCGCACTCGACCTTTCTTTTTCACTGTACCTCCTCTTCCTCCTCCTTATTCCCCTTCTCTCTTTTTCCCGCTCCTCCTCCTCCTCCTCCTTCTCCTCTTCCTCCTCCTCCTCCTCCTCCTCCTCCTCCTCCTCCTCCTCCTCCTCCTCCTCCTCCTCCCCCTTCCTCCTCCTCCTCGTCCTTCCCGTCCTTTTCCTCCTCCTCCTTCTCCTCCTTGTCCTCCCTTTCCTCCTTCTCCTCCTGCTCCTCCTACTGCTGCTGCTGCTCCTCCTCCTCTTTCTTCCTCTTTTCCGCTTCCTCCGCCATGCCAGGGATGACTTCACACCCTCGATGCCGCTTCCAGGAGGCACCCTCGTCAGGGGTGCCCTCAACTTAGTCGTGCTTGAGCCTGGTCCCGTCTCCCTCCTCCATTACTGCTCTCGCGCAGCATCCTGGAGTTTTCTCCTCCTTCTTTTCTCCTCCCCCCATTCCTGCCTCCTCCCCGCCCGCCGCGCGCTCGTCGAGGCATCGCCACGATCTGCCCCAGGAGGAGGAGGGTGAGGAGGAGGAGGAGGAGGAGGAGGAGGAGGAGGAGGAGGAGGAGGAGGAGGAGGAGGAGGAGGAGGAGGTCAGCCCCTGCAGTTCAACAGGAGCCGTGCTCTCGCCTCGGCGCCGGCTGCCTCCCCCGTCGGGCCGGGGGGCGCCCAGACCGCTCTCCCAGAGCCCAGTTCGACAACAGAGGTGTGATCAAATTGGTTCGCTTGCGTTGGACCCCTCCTCGCTCCTCGCGCGTGGCCGCTTTTGGGGATTACCCCCTCAAAAATAATGGAAGTCACATTGATGCGTCCCTCTCACGGCAACCTTTAGTAAAAGGCGAAAGATTGGTACGAGCTGACATGAACGCCGTGAAGACCCCTCCTCGCTCCTCTCTCCCCTCCCTCTCGGGGCCCAGGAGTTTCGGGGGTGTCTCCAGCGAAACGGGCCGGACCACCTCGGGCGCGGCATCTCGGAGCCCGGTTGCGAGGATGTCTCCAGCGAAACGCGCCAGACCACCTCGCGCACAACTTCTGAGAGCCTAGAATTGCGAGGGCGCCCAAACCCTTCCCAGAGACAATTCGGCTAAACATGTGTGATCACCTGATTCGTTTGGGTCTGACTCCTCCTCCCTCTGGGAGCCTAGAATTTCGAGGGTGGGATTCCCGAATTGTTAGGATATTTCAAGCGAAACGGACTGGACCACCTCGCGTGCGACATCTGGGAGCTCAGAGTTCCGAGGATGTCTCAGACGGCGCCCAGAGCCTTCCCAGAGACAAGTCGACAACATATGTGTAATCGTATGATTCGTTTGGGTCTGATCCTTCCTCACTACTTTCTCCTCCCTCTGGGAGCCCAGAGTTTCGAAGATGTCGCAGGCGAGACACGCCAGAGCACCTCGCCCGTAGCATCTCGGAGGCCCGAACTGCAAGGACATCTTAAACGAAACGGGCCACACACCATGGCGCACATTTTCTCTGAGCTCAGGGGTTGCAAGGATGTCTCTGGCGAAACGGGCTGCACCACCTCTCTCGCAGCACCTCGGAGCTGAGGGCTGCGAGGATGTCTCAGGCGAAACGGGCCGGACCACCTCGCGCGGGGCACCTCGGAGCCCCGCGCTGCGAGGATGTTTCGGGCGAAACGGGCCAGACCACCTCGCGCGCGGCATCTCGGAGGCCAGAGTTGCCAGGACGTCTCAGGCGAAACGGGCCGGACCACCTCGCGCGCGGCAGCTCGGAGCTCAGATGTGTGAGGACGTCTCCAGCGAAACGGCCCAGGCCACCTCTTGCATGGCATCTCGGGGCTCAGATTTTCGAGGATGTCTCGAGCGAAACCGGCCCGGCGCGCGGCGCCCCGGAGCCCAGATGTTCGAGGATGTCTCGGGCGAAACGGCCAATCCTGGAGAACTCAGAAACGAGAATGGTGAGGACGTCTCCAGCGACACGGCCCAGACCACCAGACTTCCCAACCATCCTGCGGTGTTGGGTATTCGTTTTGGAGAGACAGCGCCCCGCGTTCCTTCCTCTCCTCTCCTGGTCCCCCTCCTCCCTCCTCCCCCTGCTTGCCTCTGCCCTCCGCATGTCTATGTTTCGGTACACCCCTCACACGTTTCGTGGTCCCATAGGGAGCTCCGCCGAAGGCCCCAGTGGAAGGGTTCGCATGGCGCCACCGCGTCCATGTCAGCACACCTCTCACACGTTTCGTGGCCCCATAGGGAGCTCCACCGAAGGCCCCAGTGGCAGGGTTCGCATGGCGCCACCGCGCCCATTTCGGCACACCCCTCACCTTTTTCGTGGTCCCATAGGGGGCTCCACCGAAGGCCCCAGTGGCAGGGTTCGCATGGCGCCACCGCGCCCATTTTGGCACACAACCCACACTCTTTCGTGGTCACCGAAGGCCCCACCGCAGCCATCTCTGCGCGGCAGGAAGATCAGAAGCCTTCTAGATGGGGTGCTAGTACATGGGGTCGGAGGATTGAGTCGCATTGCGGATGTCCCGGCGATGCATCGGCGACGCCAGCGATACATCGGCGCCGCCGGCGTGGAGAAAAGTCCAGCCAGAGTCGCTCGTCGGTTTGCTTGCGTTCTTTCGGCTTGGTTTGCGACTGGTCTCCCTCGCTCGGGTCGGGCGAAAGGGGGGGATAGCAAAGGGGGGGTTTGAGAATCAGCTCACGTAGCTGATTTTCCCGGCGCCTCCCGGCGCCGGGAGGCGCCCATGTATCGAGGAATGGGCCCCTCGGTGAGGCCGAAATCAGCTGCATGCAGCAAATTTCGTAACCCCCCCTTTCCCAATCCCCCCCTTTCGCCCGGCCCGACTCACTCCCTCGCTCCTTCCCCTTTCGCTGGCAGCCGTCCTCGGCGTCGCACGCGCTGGGCTGGCGCGAGGGGAGGGTGGCCCTCTACCACGGCGGGGGGGCTCTCTGGGAAGGCGGGGTCCTCCTCCTCCCTCCTCCTCCTCCTCCTCCTCCTCCTCCTCCTCCTCCTCCCAAGGGTTTCGAAGAGGTCTTCTTGGACGCATCGGGGCCCATCGAAGGCCCCTGTCTTTAGAGAGGCCGCCCGCCTTCTTTGAAGCACGCCCCCCCTCTGTGCACGCCGCCGGCACCCCCCATGGGGCAGTTTGCAATTTGCCCTACCGGGCCAACCTTGTATGGCGCTGGGGCCCAGACATGGCACCGGGAGGCCGCAACGGGGACGCGAAACGAAAAAGATGTGGGAACTCAATGCTTCGCGGGGCTGGGCCCTTGACTGGAGGCCTACCCCCCAGAATGGGCGCCGAGTAGACGGGGTCGGAGGACTGCGCTGTATCGCCGACACGTTGCCGATGCACCGGTGATGCCACCGATGTCTCGGCGACGCTGGCGTGGGGAAGGTCGGGCCCCACATCGAGCCGCGTCGGCGATGCATCCACGATGCGGCGCGACCTTCCGACCCCATCTGCTCGGACCCCACTCGTGCCTCCGCCAACCCTCCCCCCCTCCCCGCCTGCCCGCGGGAATACTGCCCTTCCCTCCTTTGGGAGGGCCGGGCCGCACCCCGCGGCAGGCCCAGGCTGGCTTGTGCTGTCTTGCCCGCCTGTCATGCCTCAGCATGCTGCACACCACACCGATCAAGTTGTCTCACGCCACGCTGATCAATTTTCGGGCCCGGCGTACTTTTTTTGTTTGTTTGTTTGTTTTTTTGTCTCCCCCAAGAGAGAGCCCGTCCACGGGCAAATCCGCTTCCCCTCGAGTGCGCGCAACTTTCGGGCCCGGCGCACTGCGGGGGAGAGGAGGGTCCGCGCCGCCTCCCTGCGGGCCGCTGCTCTCCTTCTGCTCCCCCCCCCCTCCCTCCCCGCGGGCCCCTCCTCGCAGCAGCTCCAGCGTGTCGTCCGTGACGCCGCCGCCGCCCAGCCGCAGGACCCGCAGCTCCCGGCAGCGCGACAGCACGCCGCGGGCGCCGACGTCCGTGACGCGCTGGCCGCGCGGGACTCTTCCTCCTCCTCCTCCTCCTCCTCCTCCTCCTCCTCCTCCTCCTCCTCCTCCTCCTCCTCCTCCTCCCCCTGCACCCGACTCCAGATTTCGTAATGAAAGGGAGGGGGGCCTGGACCCTCCAAGACAGGCCACTTGAGACCTCCCCCGTGGGAGAGAACCCTCCAAGAACATCGCCCCCGGACCCCCCAGGCCCTCCAAGATGGATAGCCTGGAAGAGACCCCCCCCCCCCGAAACGAGACCCCCCTCCCTTTATGACGAAGTCTGGAGTACTCTCTCTTCGGTGGCAACTCATGGGAGCCTCCCATGCCATCTTGTCGGCTCTTGCGAAATCGACTCTCGTCGACGCCAGTCGAAGCTAATCAACGCTAAATCGACGCTGAATCGACGCAGGTCGACGCTGAATTGGGCTATCCCGTCGACTCCCAGGCACCAGTCGGTGCTAGTCGACGCTAAAGACGGAGTTACGAGGACACATCAATGAAGGGGCCCTGGGACACACAAATAAATACACACAAATAAAAAGATTCCCCATATTTTCCTATATTTTCTGGGTTTTTGTCTTCCCCCCCCATTCCCATATTTTCCCATATTTTCTGGGGAATCGACGATTAATTGTGTCTGTGTTTTTTCCCCTCCTGAATCAAGCTCACATGATCTGCCACCGAACCTCTCCTCTCCCACGCCCTCGGAGCTCGACGAAGGACGCTCCCCCCAGATTGCCGGCTGCTCCAACTTGTTCGATGCGTGGGCCCCCGGGGGTCCAGACAACTTCCCAGAGGCCTGGTTTGTCGTCCCGAGTCGTACTTTCACGCTCCCAAGGCCCGGCGAGGATCCCTGGAGGCCCAAAACTGGCAAAACCGCGCCGCCCCAATTTTTGTTGGAGCGTCGGATCTCTGGGTTGGAAGCTTCTCTCGCTCCCCCTTGGCCTTCGAGGATCGACCGAGGACGCTCGGGAGGCTCCTGGCCAGCGTGCTGTCTCCCCTGGCGCTCTTCAGCTCGCCCAAAGACGTCTCCGGGCGCTCGGCCCCCATCGGCGGTCAGTGGGCGATTGGGCAGGGCTCGAGCTGAACAGTGCTTCGTTTCCGTTATGTCTTCGTTTTCCTTCGTCCTGTCTTCGTTCTGCCTGTGCTGCGAATCGAAGTCGCAACGAGCACGGCCCACGAAATCGACCAAGCACCGCTTAGTTCAAGCCCTGCGATTGGGGGTCGATGCCCCCCCCCCGAGCCGATACCCCCCCACGTCGGTTATCTACTGACCCGGGTCAATGCAACCCTGGGCCAGCCAGACGTTGCAAGATCCTGCAAGCTGTTGCGGGATCCTGCGCGCTAGCCCGGGTCATGGCTTTCGGGGGCGGCTAAGACGGGGGCGTCCAAGAGGAGGGAGGAACGCAAATCATGGCTGGCGGCATGTGCGCGGCCCAGGGGGGGGGGGCGGGGACGTACTGAAATCAGAAGAGGCGCAATGAAATCTGGGGAGATATCATGGCCCCCGCCATGATAGCCACCCCCCAGTCATCACACCACCATCCTACAGGCGGATCTTGGAAGAAAGAAAGAAACATAGCAAAACGATCAGACATGGTCGAACAATCGTCCCCGTAGCACTTTTTGGACAGCTTCGGAATCTTCCTCCTGTAGAGGGACGTGCCTGGCTCATTTTTTTTTTTTTTTTTTTTTTTTTTTTTTTTTTTTTTTTTTTATATATATATATATATATATATATATCATTTAATAGAATTCAGCACGAATTATTCTCGGCGTTATGGAATCAGGGTAAAAAGGAAACATGATTTTTGTACCGACCCACGTGCCTCGAGCCCCGACCACGCTGCCCTCGAGCTTGGCATTCGGGGCGGTGCGGGGGCGGCCGCGTCCGGCGGGGACATATCCGCGGCGCGCGGCGAGGGGGAGGCGGTGCCTCGAGGCGTGCAGCCTCTCCAGGGGCCGCCGCCGCAGGAAAGGGGGGGAGGCGGCAGCCGACGGGCCAATTTCCCACCAGCACCACCGCGAGTGGGACGGGGGAGGAGGGAGGATGGGGAGGTCCTCCTCTTCATCCTCCTCCTCCTCCCTCTCCTCCTCCTCCTCCTCCTCCTCCTCCCCCTCCTCCTCCTCCCTCCCTCCTCCTCCTCCTCCTCCTCCTCCTCTCCTCCCTCCTCCCTCCTCTCCTCCTCCTCCTCCTCTCTCCTCCTCCTCCTCCTCCTCCTCCTCCTCCTCCTCCTCCTCCTCCTCCCTCTCCTACCTAATGGTAGTGGTGGTGGAACACAAATCGGCCCATCAGCAGCAGCGGGCGCAGGGGTGCGCGATGAGGAGGATGGCAGCGGGGCCCGACAAGGAGTGGGGGAGCCCGAAGACGAAGCAAGAACGAGATCCATCTGGGTGAGGATGGATCCGGGCGAGGAGTTGTCCCTGTCCCAGCCCCGTGCGAAGACCCCCTCCCTCCCCCCCCCTGAAACGCGCGGAGCACGCGATGAGCCAGGCGCTCGCTGCAGCGCGCTTCCGGGCGGCGACGCACTCCCTCCTGCCCGGGGTTGCCCTGCCCGAAGCCAGGGCAGTCTAGAACTGAACCCTGACTGAGCGGGGAACGGCCGTCCAGGCACTCCTATAGGCCTACCACGAGGTGTTCTTAGAACCCCAAAATGTTCCCAGAACAGAAGCGATGCTCTTAGAAGCAGGACTTTTGTAACTGTTTGACGCTCGTGGCAATTGCAGGTCACTAGTTTGCTTAATGATCTGCTCGGCTCTGCGTCAAGAACGGCTGCAGGTCGCCGGTGCCGAACATTAGCAGCAATAGCAGCAACATGAACACGAACATAACCCCCATGTTCCCAAACACGCTGGCAATGTGCACGCACACAACGCGCCACTGCACACCGCATGCATGTGCAAGGTGTTACACGCGTTCCTCCCAGAGCAGCTGTGCGGAGAAGGTGGAAGGGGAAACAAACACACGCCTCCAGAGCGGGGTGGTCTTGTGTTAAGGTGGACGCCCACTAGGACTCCGCGGGAGCTCTCTTTAGACCCCTGCAGTGCCCTTTGCAAGAGATCGGGCTGGCGGAGCTGCGGCAATATTTATGTGCTTATGTAACTCCTATCGGTCATCCCCGACTGTAAAGCTTTGATCGACGGGGGTGTGGCGGAGCTAGAAGTGTGGTGCAAGATCTGGTTTAACTTTCCGAAATCGGCTTGGACCAGGTTGAGCTGGCTTGGATCCCATCGCATACCTCCTGGTCGGATGCCCTGGCGAGGGAGGGTCCTTCGCTGCACTTTAAGGCTAACAAGCTGGCGGATGATTTTGCGAAGAGGGGCGCGAGGGTTCACCTTGTCTCGGAGGAAATCGAGGTCCAGAGGCCATTGCTTTGGTGGGCATTGCATTGCGTCTCATTCCTGGTACACGGGTAAGGCTCTTGGTCACCTCGCGGCTGCTTTCTCCCCTCATGCTGACAAGCCTCGGCTCCGTCGCGTGTTCGATCCGCTCGAGCTCGTCTTGGATCCCAAAGGGCATCAAGTGAAATGGAGCGGCGGCCGCTGTTGCTGTTTGCAAGAGCTGTAAGACCCGAACTTGCCTCGTCCAGGAACTCTGTCCTGGTCCCACCGTCTGTGGTGGGCGGGTGGGACTGGAGGACTTCTCTGGTGTAGTGTTTGCAGCGCCTATGCTAGGTGCTAGAGTTGAGCCTTGGGAGTCAGTGCCCCTCCCACCCCATTTCGGGCAGGACGAGAGCCCTCCAGGACCTCAAAGTGGGCAACAACCCAACCTCCCCAGAACCCATCCCTGGCTCTTGCTCCGTGTAACCTCCGCTGGCACCTCGCCGTGTCGGCTGGGTGAATGGGCTCTACGACTCGAGAACGGACATCTGTTGAGAGGGCTCAGACAGCGATTTCTGTTTTTTCCTGAATATGGTCAGTTTCTGGCTTTCCTGGTCCAGGGGTCAGAGCTGTTGGCGCTTGCTTGTGTTGGATGTTTGGATTTGAGGTGGTTCCCATCGGGGGCCGCTTCCAGAGGAGCGGAAAACGGAAAGAGGAGGATGATGATGCTGCTGCTGTTGATGATGATGATGATGAGGAGGAGGAGGAGGCGGAAGAGGATGAGGATGAGGGTGGAACGTCTTGAGGTGAGGTGGGAAATGGGGGAGGTAGACGAGGGAGGATGAAGGAGGGAGGAGCTGAAGAAGTGGTTTGAGGGACGAGGGGGAAACGTGGCTGGCCCCGCTGTGTCCTGAGAGGCCACGGTGAGCTCCACGAGCTGGCCGCAAGCGTGCGAGATGAAAGCCAAGCCCTGGTCTGTGATGGAGCAATCCGAGCCTGCCCGGAGGGGGAAGGGAGGGAGGGAGGGGAGGGAGGAGGAGGAGGAGGAGGAGGAGGGGAAGGAGGAGGAGGAGGGGGAGGAGGAGGAGGAGGAGGAGGAGGAGGAGGAGGACCAGTGTAAGCCCAAAACGCACAAACGATGTTGCAATAATCATCCTTCCAAGTTCCATTTTCGTGTGTCCCTACTAGAACTTACTTCATTGCACAGTTGTATTATAGAGCTCGGATTTTTTATTTCAATCCAGTCCTGGGTGGTAGCCCTGGCCTCCAGCCTCCCTGGCCTCTGTGGCCCTCCCCCCCATTCCCCCGGGGCCGGGGCTCGGATTCCTTGGCCCCATAAGGAGCTCCACCGAAGGCCCCGGTGGCAGGGTTCACATGCGGCTCCGCGGCCATTGTGACACACCTTTCACACGTCTCGTGGTTTTATATGGAGCTCCACCGAGGACGATACTCAACTGCCTCTTTCACAACTGCACATGGCTGGGTCTCTCGCCATGGTAGAGAAGACGCATCGCCCCGCGTCCTCTCCTCTCCTCTCCTCTCATTCTCCCTCCTCCCCCTCCTCTTGCCTCCCTCCCGTAGGGAGCTCCGCTGGATGCCACATTAGCAAGGTTCCTATGCGGTTCCCCGCCCACCGCATGTCCATGTCGGCGCACCCCTCACACGCTTCGTCGCCCCAGAAGGAATTCCACCGAAGGCCTCCATGGCATGGTTCGCATGCGGTTCCCCGCTCACCGTATGTCCATGTCGGCACACCCGTCACACGCTTCGTGGCCCATAGGGAACTCCACCGAAAACCCCAATTGATGGGTTCACATGTGGGCCCCCACCCACCGCGTGGCCAGTTTGGCACACCCCTCACACGCTTCGTGGCCCCGCAATGAACTCCATCGAAAGCCCCAGTGGCAAGGTTCGCGCGCGGTTCCCTGTCTACCACATGTCCATGTCGACACACCCTTCACACGTTTCGTGGCCCCATAAACGTTTCGTGGCCCCATAGAGAGCCCCGCCGAAGGCCCCCGTGACAAGGTTCGCACGCGGCTCCACGGTGATTTGGACACACCCCTCACGCATTCCGTGGCAGGATCAGGAGGAAAGACTTGAGGGGGAGAAGGGAAGAAAGAGGAGGGAGGAGGAAAGGCGGGTACGTGGGGCGTTGCGCATTCAAGACGAAGACTTACCACCACCAGGTGTTTGGGAAAAGCGAGGGCCCAACACAACAGGACGGGTGGAGAAATCAGCCTGGCGAAAAGCCGATCCATCTGCATTTGGGAATGCCGTCGTTGTGAGCGTCGCCTCCAGTGCATCTCCTGTGGGGCCACGACGCGCGTGGGGGGTGCGTCGACATGCGGCGGGACTGCCTTGCGGGCGTCGCCGCTAGGGCCTCCGAGTATCCCGAGACAAATGAAATGAGAGAGGGGGACCAGCAACTGAACTGCGGCGTGGATGAAGGGGGAGGAAAGCTGACGCGGGCAAGCGGGGAGTCTTTTTAGTGTGGCCAGATCTCCGCGCGCCGCCGTTTCGTGTCCATTTCCTTCCCACCCTTTTCTCCCCTATGCCCGCCTGTCCCGCGGCTGCCCGAGCCCAGGGTGTCGCCGTTTGGTGTTAGTTAGCTTTTTCCTCGCGCCCTGACCTCGTCTTCGTCCAGGTCCTGGCCGGGCTTGCGCTTGAGCCTGCCGTCAGGTCCTCAAGCCCGTCCTCTCC